CACTATTTGTGCACTATAGATTTCCCTCTTCAAATTAACTTTTGGAAAAAATATGGTTCGCTTATTTTTTCAGTTTGTATACAAAGTGTTAAATTAAAAATTCATTTTTAATAAGACATCAATTTTTTTCTCGAATAAAATATTTTTTAAACAAATATTTCAAACGAAAATTTTAGAATTTTAAACGAGTAATGTAGTATATAATGCAATTTTTTAAATTATATTTTGTAAAATATCAATGTAATATCGATATTTTATAAAATAAAAACATTTAATTTTCCTATGTAATGCAATTTCATTAAATTATTCTGCAAATAAAAATTTAAATATGAAATTAATAGATTAGGGGATATTTTTTATATAATAAAATATGAAAAGTAATCAATTTTCAAAAACTATCGATTTTTTAAACAATTTTCATATTTTATTATGCACAAAATAACTAGGGAAATTGCATGAAAAAGTTATATTCATTGTTTTTTTATTTGAATGTATCTCACAAAAATACGTTATAAAAAATTTGCATGCACATACTATCCTAAAATTGTAAAACTTATATTTGATATTTTAGAATTTTATTTTTTCAGGAATTTATTTCGAGAGAAAAATCGATATATTTAAAATGAATCAGTCATTTATATATGCACAAACATCAGATATATTATGACAGATATTTTATGACTGTATTATAGATGCAATATTATGCAATTGATTATTCATATTATGCACATATGAGCTTCTCAGATATCAAATATCGTAATCAGTATCGTGAAATAAAAAAAAAGGAAACTTAGCGAAGTTATAAATTAATCATGCTACTCTTAAGATTAGCTTTGATAAGATTAAAAGTTTCATATAAAGTAGAGCAGTTAACTTAAATTGATTGTATTGAAAGAGAAATATATTTTACGCGATAATAAATTATACTTTATACAAGATGAAACCAACTGCGAGAAATTTAATTACAGCAAAGAGTAAAGTACGACGCGTCCATCATGACGGTATGTTGCCAGCTTTGAGTCGAAGACTGGTTGGTATTTCCGACACGGACTGTATGGATCAATGTCATAACGACTACGTGGTGCTACGTGGTAATATGTCATAACAAAAGAAGCAGGTGCGGTTTTAATTTCCACGGAACCAGAAGAACAATCGCGAAATTATGGATGTAAATCGTCGGCGGTGCTTTTAAGTACAATGGATGACAGACGGCAATTGGACAGTTGGCGTTGACGGTTTTGCTGGGGAATTGCATGGAATGAGGGATTCAGTTGAAAGCCACGAGCATTTGGTAGTACGAGTGCGAGCGAGAAAGAAGAGGAGAACGATGGAGGAGGAGGAGGGAGGGGAGGGAAGAAGAACGAGTAGGATAAAAGGAAACGTGGTGGAAGAGGGTAGCGAAGACGGAGGGAGGGTAGAATGGTAGGAAAAGCGGGTATGCGCAGAAAGGGGACGACTGGCACAGAATAGTTTAACAGGTTGTGGTTACGAGCGTTCGCCGTCTCCCATTGGTTCCCCACCCGTACTTGAGTACACGTTAGGTTAACTTAATTTTCATTCGTACTCCCACCACTACCGGTTTCTCTCTTTTCACGTCACTCTTCCTCTTTCTTAGCATCATCTTCTATTTGTTATTATCCGTTCGTCCGCTTGCCTTGGACTGCCTCGCTGGCCGCCGTCACGTCGAAATAATACTTTTTATATTTGCTGGGTTCCTCGCGAAGGATCTGAACACTGATGCATCATACACGTGCGTAAGTATACATCACGCATATGTATAAGCATGACAAGAGTGAATCTCCTCCCCCTCCCCTAGCGGACAAGAGACGCGGCAAGAGCAGGTTGAAGGGTGGAGGGGAGGGAACAGCAAGAGAACAAGAGAAAGAGAGAGAGAGAGAGAGAGAGAGAGAGAGAAGGGGGGGAGGAATATTGGATGGTGGGACAGAGAAGGAGGGGAGGGAGAGTAATAATCCCGCCGTCTGAAACGGCAAACGGCGCACGCTACCTCACGAGCGCGCGCGCGCGCGCGTCTTTACAAAACGACGTATCTGAAAAACTCTGAACTCGTCCTCAACAATTCATATAAGAGTTAATTATCCTGCCGCTCGTGCGCGATCGACGTCACCTACATCTTTTGCTACTACCCCCCATATCGGGTACCTCGGTACTAATAATAAACTTCAGACTGGACGCGGAACAGGGCGACGGATCATAGCCGTGGCTGCCGCCGGGGAATGCACATCACGTCACTGAATCCCGTTTGAACTGTTTGAAGCGAAAACGAGTGTAGTAGTGCCGTGTATACACGGACCGACCACAGAAGTGATCATGTCATGATACTGTCGCGTCATGTCGTAATCATGTGTAAGAGAAAATTTACTCACGAGCAAAAGCGCGGGAGTAATCATATTCGCGTGACGGCATCTAGGCAAGGAAGATCGATCACTTTTTTTCTTTTATGTTGATTCACAGCTGCGACGCGGCTGCGGTCCGTGCGACGAAATGAGAGGCTGATTCTTTCTCTCTTTCTCTCTCTCTCTCTCTCTCTCTCTCTTTCTCTCAGTTCTCTCACCCGCTGTCTCCCGCCGAATGCGCCAAGAAAGCGCGCGTAATTAATTGACTTTACCTACCGTTGAACATTGTTTGCGTTTACCGATTCGAAAGGTTATTAAAGAAATGTCAAGTCGCCGGTGTCGCATGTAGTTTATCTTAATCTTCTTCTTGTGCTCCAGTTTGTTATGAATCCAACGCGGTCATTCGTGCGGCTACCGAAAGACCGCCCGCTTCTCGAATTGGGGATTCAATTGAGAATAATCACCGAATTTCGGGTTTCAATGAGAACAACCGGTGATAGTGCGCGCGTATTAGTATTGGCCAATAATCGCTGATAGTACGCGATGTTCGTGCCGATTATAGCGTCCGAGATTGTTCACCCAAGGATAAGCCGATGTTGACAACAATGTCTGTAAGTATAAAAAGCTTGCCGCAATATACAAACGCGTTACTTGCGAGAAAATAGGAAAATTGCAAATCGTTATAAAACCTCTCGCTATAAAGCGAGACTTTAACTATCTGCGTGCCTGTTTATATTTAATAAATTTGCGCAGATTTGATGTAATCGGATGTTATATAAAAATTTTCCGTCTGCTCGATAAAACTCCGAGTATTACTTATTTATTCGCAGATTGCGAAAATGAATAATCCGATTGTATCACAATTTTCAGGAATTTAAATTTTCTGCAAAAAATAAGATGTATGAGGACGGCGCTGTGGAGCTGTTGCAAAATTTCGGTACGTGTTTTGTATAACAATAATCAGTTGTAACATAGACTAATACTAATTCTATAAAGTATAATTCTGTACAGATTGACATATAAATATGAGATCATATTCTTATGTCAAATTTTGAATAATTATAATATTTTTGAAATATTCAAACTTTGAAAAATTTAAATATTAAAATATATATAT